TTAACTCAACTACCAAGTTTATACATGCTAATGAGAGCCCCGCCCCCTCTATGTGTGGTGTGTGTGCGCACACAGATGTGCATGTACAAGTGTGCTCATGAATATGTGGAGGCCTGAGGTTGACACCCAGTGTTTTCCTCTATCACTCTCCCTCTTATTTTTTGAGACATAGTCTCTCACTGGATCTGGAACTTGCTGTTTTCCTTTAGACTGGCTGGCCAGTGTGCCTCAGGAACCACAGCCAGCGTTGGGTTTGCAGACATGTATAACACCAGCATGCCTGGGCTTTATGCACTGCCAAGGGGCCAAATGCATGCAGACCCTCTGCAGCAAGCACTTTACTCCTTAAGCCATCTTCCGAGTCCCTGTTTTTGTTTTCTTGAGACATGAGCTTGCTGTGTATCTCTTGCTGACCTAGAAACTCATAATATAGACCAGGCTAGTCCCAAACACAAGGCAATCCTTCTGCCTCAGTGCTGGCCTTGAATTCATTATGTAGCCAAGCCTGGTCTTGATCTCCTGATCTCCCTTCATCTCCTTCAAAATGCTGGGGTTATAGACATGAGCAACTGGACCAGCCTAGCATGTTCTCTGGACCTTACCCTCAAGATTTCCTATCATTTATGCCCAATAAATCCCAGACTAGCTCTTAGAGATAGATCCGTGCTTTACTTCCATATGCTTACAAGCCATTATTATATTGGATACTACAGTTTTCTAAAATTTGCTCAGGACTGATAAACCCAGGAGTCTAAAATTTGTAGCATCCCCTTCCTACCTTCATATTTGTCAAGCCGAGGACCTGTGTGCTTTTTCTCCATCGTCTATTGCCTAGCCCAAGGTTACTCAATTGCCTATTCATCTGGTCCTCACCGAGGTCCTGGGCATAAGGACTGGACTATGGGCATCTGGTCTATCGTGTTTCTCTTTTTATTAGCATGCAAAATAATAGGTTTGAAGTGATAACTCACAAAAGCTGGGTCAATTATTTATTTATTTATTTATTTTATTTTTATTTGGTTTTTCCAGACAAGGTTTCTCTGTGTAGCTTTGCGCCTTTCCTGGAACTCACTTTGTAGACCAGGCTGGCCTCGAACTCACAGAGATCTGCCTGCCTCTGCCTCCCAAGTGCTGGGATTAAAGGTGTGCGCCACCACCGCCTGGCAGGTCAATAATTTATTAAGGGGTGCAATGAGAATAACACACTCATGAACACAGAACGAAGGAGACGTCGCTGTGATCCAGCTACAGCTGTCCTGCCCTTCTGCCCAAGGGCGATGAGGACCAACCGCAAACCACACTTCTCCGTGGCTTGATCCTGCTCCACCACCCAAGAGAGAGAGCTTGGCCCCTCTCCTCAGTTTTTAACCCCATAGGGCTAGTCACCCCAAATGTCATTGGCTAAACGGTGAACTCCCACAACAAGGTTTCTAGGTTGGTAGCCAAAGAATGAAGACAGGGTATGGACTACCACTTCTTTTAGTCCTAGAAAAAGGCTGAACCATCAAACAGTTCATAAAGGAGGGGGCATTCCTTAACAAAGTCCAAACATAAGAAATCTCCAAGTCAAGGAGTCAATTAGGAGTTAACTGCCAAATCCAAAAGCTAGTGTCTAGACAACGGCAAGGAAACACAGGTCCAGCAAAGGGGAGTGGGCAGGAGCCCAGTCATTGAGAGGATGGGTGCGAACAACTCCTGAGTCAGCTCCATCTTGCTTGTATGCAATTCTTGGAGCTATCCGGGGAGGCCTCTCTGCATAGGGAATGAGCAGTACCAACAAAATGAATATGTTTTAAAGAAATAAAAAAGCTGGGGCTGGAGAGATGGCTCAGCAGTTAAGACCACTGATTGCTCTTCCAAAGGACTGGGTTTAATTTCCAGCATCCACATGGCAGCTCACTGCTGTCTATAATGTCAGTTCTAGGAGACTGGACACTCTCACAGACAGACAGACAGACATACAGGCAAAACACCAATGCACATAAAATGAAAAAAAATAAAAATTTAAAAAACTACTATATTTAAAGTAATAACAACAATAATAATAATAGTACTACTACTACTACTAATAGTACTACTACTACTACTACTAATAGTACTACTACTACTACTAAGCCAGATGTATTAGAACACTTGGTAGGTAAAGGTAGGAGAACCAGGAGTTGAAGGCCAGCCTTGACTACACAGTGAGTTAGCCTGAGGAAGCCAGTGCCACATAGGACCTTGTCTCAAGAAAGCAAAACAAGGGCTGGAGAGATGGCTCAGTGGTTAAGAGCACCGACTGCTCTTCCAGAGGTCCAGAGTTCAATTCCCAGCAACCACATGGTGGCTCAGAACCATCTGTAATGAGATCTGGTGCCCTCTTCTGGCCTGCAGGGACACATGCAGGCAGAATACTGTATGCATAATAAATTAATAAATTAAAAAAAAAGCAAAACAAAACAGAACAAGTGAATGAAAGAGGAAAAGAAAGGAAAAGGAAAAAAAAAACCAAGACTCTTGTGGTCCTTTTTAACTTTCAAGAACAGATTTATTTATGTGTGTGTGTGACTGAATGAATTTATGTGCCACATGCATACAGGAACATGCGGAAGCCAGAAGAGGGCATTTGATCCCCTGGAATTAGGGTTAAAGGCTGTTGTAAGCTGCTGTGTGGGTGCTGGGAACCAAACCTGGGTCCTCTGCAGTAAGCAGTCTTAATCATTGAGCTGGCTTCCCAGGCCAGTTTTATTTGATTATTTTATGTATACGGGTGTTTGGCCTGTTTGTATGTCTGTACACCACGTGCATGCCTGGTCCCTGCAGAAATCAGCAAGAAGGTGTCAGATCTCCTGGAACTGGTGTACAGATGATTGTCTGTGAGGCACCATGTGGGTGCTGCGAACTGAACTCTGGTCCTCTGGAAGAACAGCCAGTGCTCCTAACCTTTCACTTGTCTCTGCAGCTCCCTCTCTCTTCCTTTAAAAGACAAGGCCTCACTATGTAGTGCTGGCTGACTTGCACTATACAGATCAGTGTGGCCTTGAACTTGGAACCATCCTTTTGCCTCTGCCTCCCTAGTGCTAAGACTACATGCGTGTCCCACTACTCGGGGCTCCATTTACACTTTTGACCTTGTTAGCATGGGGAATTGTGTTAGCATTAAGATCCATGGGTATTTACTTAGGTTAGAGGTTAAAGTTGTTGGCCCAATAGACGGCTCACTTTTAAGAGGGGGCAATACCCTTGCCGAGGAACCAAACTCAGTTCTCAATATTCACATCAGGTTGCTCACGGCTGCCTGTAACTCCAGCTGCAGAGGACCTGATGATTTCTTCTGCCCTCCATGGACACCTATGAGCAGACAAAATGCTCACACACGTTTTTTTCTTTTAAAGAAAGCAGTAGTAGTTAGGGTTATCATCCATAAGTGCTTTCTATAGGCCAACCACTATTCCCTGTATTTTACACATGGACACCTGTACTCATGTGTATATACCTATACACAAACACATTCCTACACAGTTTTTAAAAAATCTTGAAAAGAAGCACTGATGTAGCCAGGCGGTGGTGGTGCACGCCTTTAATCCCAGCACTTGGGAGGCAGAGGCAGGCAGATCTCTGTGAGTTCGAGGCCAGCCTGGTCTATATAGTGAGTTCCAGGACAGGCTCCAAAGCTACACAGAGAAACCCGGTCTGGGGTGGGGGAGGAAGCACTAGTGTAGGAGTCAGGGCCTGCAGAGACGGTTCAGTGGCTAAGAGCACTGACTGTTCTTTCAGAGGACCTGGGTTAGATTCCCAGAACCCACATAGCAGGTTTTAATCATCTGTAACTTCAGTTCCAGGGACATGGTACCATCTTCCTGTCTCCATAGGCACCAGAGCAAACACACCTACTGCAGACAAAATACTCATACATATTTTTTTAAAAGGAGTAGTAGTTAGGGTTGTAATCCAGAAGTGCTTTCTATGGGCTAAGCACTATTCCCTGTATTTTATACATTAACCCTTACTGTAGTTTTATTGTGGTGTATTATCATTCATTGTTCCTGTGTTATGGATGAAAACACTGGATTAATTTTATATAATATATAAATATATTACATAAATATAAAAACATTCATACTTATATAAAATATACATATATACTTACATGTATGAATTATCTATATCAAATCTATCATCTATCTATCTATCTATCTATCTATCTATCTATCTATCTAGACTAATGGTTATGAGGTTTAAACTAGACAAGGATGACCTCAGTGTGTATACTTGTAATCTCTACTAACCACAATGCCACAGACTGAGAAGGACAGGGTCTCATAGCTCAAACTGGCCTCAGACTTACTGTGTAGCTAAGAATGACCTTGAACTCCTGATCCTCCTGCCTCTACCTCCTGAATGCCAGGCTTACAGGTACACACCACCACACAGGGTTTTATGTGATGCTACGGATGGAACCCAAGGCTTGCTCTGCTCTACCAACCAAACTACACCCCTAGCCCCTGAAAAGGAGAATGCTTTAAGCAAAACAATAGGGCAATATACTTCCTCATGGAGGTGGGGTGGCAGCAAATATAGACTAGATGTAGGCCCTCTCTGCTTCTCAGACTGTCCTCGGCCTAAACGATAAAATCTGGGCATCAGCAAGCTGAGCCAGAACTCAGTGGGGAAGCAGGAAGTGGGGGCTTTTCTGTTATTCGAGGTCACATCTTTATTCAGGAAATTTGGTTATTTTTAGTGTTAGCTGGCAGAAAGTATGCACAGCTACATGTAACTGTCTGTATTCCTGCTCCCCATTATTCTAACAGACTTCAACTGTGTAACCACATGGGAGTCTTGGTTTCAACATGTTTCCATTACTCTTGTGGCTACTGTGTTGTGTCCTTTTTTTTTTTTTTTTTTTTTTTTTTGTACTAAGGTGTCACTGTTCTTTCTGCAAATGTTCTTAAGTAAGAACATAGTGTCAGGCATTTATATTTTGAAGAGAGACTCTAAGACTAGCCAGGAACCAGGTGTTTACATTTAGAGTTAAGTTTATTGACCCCCCCTCTTATTTTTTTTACATGTTCATTTACAACTATCATTCCAGACACAAATGAAGACATGACATCTTCGAAAGCACAAAGATCTTGATTGACTGAAAGTTTATATTTAGTTCAACATTAGCTCTTGGTGGCTAATTCCCAAGGGCCCCAAATTCCACTTTTCTGGGCCAATGGGGTTCCTAATTATGAGAATAAAATTAGCTTAAAATTCATATTTTCCTTATTTCCCAAGATGTTTAACTTCACATTTAAAAAGCAAGTTAGTCTTTAGTTTCCTAGTGAATGAACCAGCCACCTAGCTTTGATCAAAAAGTATCAAATGAAAAATAAAGCCATGTGGCTTTTCAGAATCTGCTTAGCTAAACAAGTGTTACCAATAAAATTTACAAGTTTACAAGCATATTATGTCTCCTAGTCTCAACACGATACAGGTAACAGTACACATAAGGTCACACTTGACAGGCATAGAACCAGGAAGCCATTATGACTGGTGGCATGCAAGTATTTTACATTTTTATGTGCGATGAAAAATGCTGCTTGTTTTCTGAAAAAACAAAACAAAAACCATGAAACAGATAAAGGCTTACTTAAAATATAAATATGCTTTTTCATGTACATACTTTTGTTCTTAAAAAGAAAGCGGAGATACAAATTACTTTATTCCATTTATCTATTTATTTAAAATGTAAGACAAAGTCTCATGTGTCACAGGCTGGTCTTGAACTTGCTATGTTGCTGAGGATGACCTTGAACTTCTGATCCTCCTGCCTCCACCTCCCAAGTGCTGGGATTACAGATGTATACTACCATGCCTGGCTTAGAATAATTTAAATAAAGATTGTCATGGCTAACATTTGGTACTAAAGTAAAATTACTCAGGAAGTGTACTTTCTATCCATCTCCTTTCTCCATTTGGCCAATTTCTGTCTACCCACACCTAGATGGTGTCCACAGAAGTTTAAAATCCTGGGCCAGTGTCTTTCAATGCACAGTGCACTTTTGATTGTCTCTTGGTGTGCAATCAACATGTGCTTGGAAATGCAAATACACAGATATTAAATAAAAGTCTATTAAAAACATACAGGTCAGTGTCTTTCTTTGCATCTCCTCCCCTCCTTTCTCTCTGATTCAGAGGAGGGAAATATTATATATATATTAAGATATTCTTTCTGTTTTTGAAGGAAGCATCCCCAAACCTTTCAAGTTTTTTTTAAAATTTATTTTAAGTACTGAGGATTGAACCACATGCCAGGAAATGCTCTACCTCTGAGCTACCTTCCCAGCCTGGAAGTAGCCTTCCTGACAAGGCTGCTCTTCCAGAACTATTCTGAAATGGTTAAACACTGCTGAAAAGGAATGAGCAACTGTCTGCAGAACATCCCTGGAGAGAGCTGGAGCTGCAGTGGATATATTACCCACCCATGTTCATAATCACAGGGTTGTAAAGTCTGGGATCTAGAAGGGACTTTAGAGAACACACTGTTTTGTAGGCAAAATAAAGATAAGATAGATGAAAAATCTTACCCATGGTCACATACAGCTGGCATCCAAGTCATTATGAAAATATATATATATATATATATATATTTATATATATATATATATATCTCACATGTTTGTAAACAGAATATAATTCTTGTAGGGCTGGAGGACAGTGATGCACAAGCAACATTTATAAAGCACCTACTATGTACAAGGCACCTTATTAGATGGTACCAAAGACACAAGGACCGATGAGACACCATCCTGGTGAGGTCATACTACACTGCTTTTCTTGGCAGAAATAGCTGGCCAGGACTGAGCTGCTGGTGATAAGTAGCTGCTGCTCCAGAGAGCTTGCTCCCTTTCAGTGTCAGAGCTGGCACCCGGTACACAGATGCCAGGCATGAAAAAATTCTTGGAGCTCTAAGGAGATGCTCTCCAAGGTGGCCAGCAATACCTTGAGTCCTACCTAGCCTCCATCGCCTTTAGTGATGTCAGGAAGGCCACAGCGCTCTTTTGCATAAATTCTTAGTCACTGTTTGAGTTCCCCTCTTGGACCCAGCATTTCCAAGGACTGGGTCCACTTCTTCAGGGCTTTTTATTTTTTGAGACAGGATCTCATGTAGCCCAGGCTGGTCTCAATCAAATTCACTGTGTAGCCAAGGATGAATTTGAGCTTCTGATCTTCCTGCCTCCACCTTTTGATTGCTGGAATTGAAGATTTGTGCCACCCTGCTCAGTTAATGCGGTGCTGGGGATTGGATCTTTGTGCACACAAGGCCAGCACACTACCTTACTGAGTTACTTCCCAGCCCTTTCCAAAGTACTTTCAAAGTGACCCAGCAAAGTGATCTATCATTCGTATCACTGAACTATATAATACCCACTGCCACCACCAACCACCTCTCACCTCTATGTTTGAAGTAAAACAATTCTAGTCCCTTATATCATTCTAATTCCATCATTCCATGGTCCAATTTGCCCTAATCCAAAAGATGAACCATTGGTCAGAATGAAACAGACTCAGAGGCAGTGGGAAAAATTAGTGAATTGATAAAAAGCGATTTACTTTTGTACAGTGCTTTCTAGTTTCTATGGTGTTTTCATCCGATGATCTGATTCTATTTTCTCACTACAACTCTGTGAGGTAGTTAGTGAAGATATTATTCCCATTTAATGGCTGGGGAGCTTTAGACTTGAGAGATCAAGTGGTTTCCCCTAAAGTCACCCAGCTAAGAAAGAGTAGAGTCAAGTGTTCAGGTCACTTGACTCCATTTCCGGTGCTCATCCCCCATATAATCTATAATTGGCAGGCAATTAGATGAATTGCCCATGATCATACACCTGCTAAGTGTGGGTAACGGGATTGGGATTTAGCCTCCAAATCTGTTAGTATGGTACCCATTCACCATACCAACTAGCTGAGCCAACATGCTCCGAATGACTGCCACAAGACACAGCTAACCAAGCCTGGTTAGTAGGTCGCTCTTTTCTACCCATGACTTCAAGCCCTCTCCTTCATCCTCTCCAAGGCAACAATGTGTCTGAAATAGGCTTAACCTCTGACTCATGTGCTGTTTCTAGAATAGTACCCAGGATACAGACTTAAAATTTGTAACCCATTGCTCATCTATCTATCCATTGTTTGGTCATTGCTGTTAAGCTGATGGGAGAGAGATTAAGAGGAGTGAGCAGAACCGAGCTCTGCCATTAAATGAATTTAAATATGACATCCCTGGCCCTTTCGCTTGGTAAGGATCTTGAACCACAGTATAAAGTACAGTCAAGATGTAGAATTGGGGAATAAGGAAACAGTGAACACTGAGGTTCTGGGTACTTTTCTCCGGTCAGTTAGTTCCAAAAGGCTGCTCTGTGGTTTGCCCAGTGGGATCAGCCTGATGTTAGAAAGTTTTTGTACCTTTCCTATATGTGTGTCTCAGTGTTTTAGTTGAGAATGGAGTGAGTGGCAGGGGTATGGGACGCAAACTCAATATCTACTTTTCGAAAAGGCAATCGGTCTACCGTCCCAACACTAAAACACGTGTAAACTTCTCTCAGTCCAGAATTCTTATGCATCCTGTCTCTCCTGCACAGTATTTAGGAGAGGGCAGAGTAAGTCTCAGCCATGAAAAAGGAAGTACGTTCAAACACTTTTATCAACTCTGCAGGGCTGTCTGAGCATGCTGATGTTTTCACGCCAGGTCTAAGCTTTGTGCATCAGAAAAGCCTTGTGGCAGTTATTCTGAAGGCAGTGGCTTCCACCACGTTGGTGCCCACAAGGGGCCACATCTCTGTGTGGAAGAGAAGCAGCTGTTCATGGTCTGGTATTCCAGTCTTCCTTTAGGAAAACTGGCTCCAGGGGCACAGGCACTGTGATATTTTCTGAGCTTTAACATGGAGATGGGCTTCTACTGGAAGATGAGCTGTGTGCTGAAAGATGGGTGAGCCACACCTGCCCCTCCAGGCACGTGATTCTCTAACCTGGGCCCACAACAACCTTGAGAGGGGCAAGGGAAGCATGGTCCCGTTAATCCATGGTCTACGTGTAGCCAAACACCTCACTACAGTATTTGGTGATCCTTATGTACAAAATATACAGTGTGTCCTACAGAGATGGAAGGATGGGGCTAATTGATGTTCATGAGTATGAAATGATACAGACTTTAGGCATATAGGAAGATCTCATGGGGTAATAATCCAGTGAATTTTCTAAGAGTCATCCTCCACACGATTGTGAAACTACCGACCCCAGAGTAATTTCCCATGGAACCTGGGTCTGCAGCAGTTCTAAAAGGGGAAGGGAAGTGGAGCTGGGGAGAGAGCCTCCCTTCAATCTGTTGTCCAGATGTAGCCAAATACCTAGTTAGATATCTGACAACACACACACACACACACACACACACACACACACACACACACACGGCGGGGTGCGGGAGGGAGGGAAACTGATTTCTCTCAAAGATGAAAGCCAGGGTTTTGATCATGCTGAAAAGGACGAAGGAGCTTTAGCTGCGCACATGAGGCAGACAGAGAGATGCACGTGTACTACTAGACTAGTCACTATTTCTAGACTTGAGAAATGCACCTCCTGAAAGCCATCTATCTACATGTGCCATGACAAGACATCAGGGACAGGAACCTTCAAGTCTAGGGGAGTGAGTTTTCATTTACTATGGGCCTGTATAACTGTAAAGGGGAAGGGAGCAGCTGAGGGAAACATGAGCTCCCTCCAAACAGTTATTCAGGCATTAGCAAACACTCCGCACACTAGCTAGCAAAATATATACATATAAAAATAATTTACACATATTTTGTCTCATCATGATGAAATTAATTATCCACTTTGGGCAGAAGGGAGGTGAAGTCTTAAACTAATTATACGACTTGATAAAGTTCCCTCAAAATGCATGTTTGATCTTCTAGTAGTTATCTTCAATATGTAAATACTTATGGAAATGTCATTTTATAAGCCACTTAAAAATCCATAATGATAAAACAGCTGATTAGTAATAAATAATCTCATAAACTCATCTTATAAGCTAAAAGCAGTATGATTTTAAAAATAATGTTCTATCTTGCTTTAATAGTATTAATAACTCCTTATAAAAAGGAATAGCTGTGATCCAAATCTTCTATTTTTTTTCTTGCTTTTTGCCAGGGTGTGCTAACAGCTGCAACCCATTCTCCAAAACGTGGGGCTTCAGGCAACACTCTTAAGGGTCGGGGTTTCTCAAGAGACGAAGGAAAGAGAAGGAATGAGGAAAGGAAAAGGATCACTTGTAGAGGTTTGCTAGGGACTCTGCTTTTAAAGAGGTCTGTGACCAGGTTGGAGGAAAGACACAGCATCCTCCCTTTGGCAACATGGTAACCGAAAATTATGATTCAAATACATCGTACACATTCACCCAGGTAGAACTGCTTATCTACCAACAATCTAGAGGAAAGAAAGGAGACAGTTTCTTACACACTGATAATTCCCAAAGACTCTTCTCACCACAGCCAAGAAGTTAGTGCTGAGAGCTGGGAAGAACTGTGCCATAGCACACCACAGGTAGTATTTACATCATGTAGGCACAATGTACATAAATAATCTCAAGAACATAGTTTAGCCTTTACCATGCATAATTGATTTAACTGTAAGTGCATGTCACTTAATATGTTTTTGGTTGGGGTCTCATGTAGCAGGCTGGCTTCAAGCTTCCTATGTAGCCAACACTGATCTTGCCTCCATTCCAAGTGCTAGGATCACTGGTGTGTGCCAACACACCTGGCTTCCCTTAATTTTTAGTAGTGCTATGTTGAGCAATCATTCACAGAATTCTTGAAAGCCGAACACCCAGCAAACCTGTACAAACTGACTCCAATATAGCACATCCAAATGGAGGAGAAGGGAAGAAAAATCAGACTGAAAACCATCAAATGGAATGTACTAATACATTTTCAGATCGACAGGAAGATAAAGGATTGGGGATGACTCAAAAAAAAAAAAATGTGAGAATACCCTCCTTATTGTGTCCTGAAAAAAAAAAAAACAAGTAAAACTGAGTCAAGAAAATGAGATGTTTCAGAGGACTTTTGCTTTCAGTTATGGGTATTTATAGAACTAGTCAGTGTCCAGCTTCTCCCTCCAAGTGTCCAGTTTTTTAAAGGCCCCTCTAAACAGATTCCAAGTGCTTTTCAAGCTAAGTTATTCACCCATCAACTTGTCTTCCTGCTACCAGTCAGGAACTCACAGTCACTAAAACTATACAGGGTTAGACCCAAGATCTGCCAGGGACGGCAGCTTCTGCTCTGCCAACAGTACAAGAGTCTCACCTCTGTAAGACTCAGAGTCCTAAAGAGAAGGGAAACCACAGGGATGCTGCGTAAGGAAAGGAGAGGACAGGGAAGAAAGAGAAACACTGTGAGTTATCCTTGTTGTCAGCCTGATGGGATTTGGAACCACATAAGGTATTCCCAGAGAAGTCTAACCAAGGAGGGAGGACTCACCCTGAATGTGGGTAGCACCATCCCACAGGCTGGGGTCTCAGACTGGGGGCAAAGGAGAGAGTGGGTGGAGCCTCGCATTCATCTCTCTCTGTCTCCTGTCTGCGAATGCGATGTGACCTGTGCTCCAGCTGCCGTGGCAGATGGTACCCTAAAACTGTGAGCCAAATCGAACGCTTTCTCCCTTCCATTCCTCTGGCCAGCTATTTAGTCGCAGCGGTGAGAAGAGGAGCTAGCCTTAGCTACCTGACAGGGGCTGTCACAGGCTGTCATCAATGACAGGAGAGAGGAGTGGTGATTTGCGGCCAAAGACTTCTGTCATTTGTCACCTTAATTTTGCACTGCACTGTCCAACGGTTATACTAAGAAATCAACGCCATCATTTCAGTTCTGTTTTCCACTGGCTTTGTCTTTGAGGTGACAAATATCTGAGTAACTGACAATGCATTTTTACCTAACGTTTGCAAATGTCTAGATTGACCATGTGATAAAAAGTGGCACTTGATTTTAACCAAAAGGCAGAGAAGCAATTGCACATGACAAAAAAAAAAAATCTATGTAATTAACTACAATGCCCACAATTTATCCTGTGAACCTGTCATGCTAAAGATGAGGCATTAATTGCTTTTAAATTTTGTCAAATTCACTCAATCTTATGTACCAGAAACTTTGATTAAGGTGCTATTATCTTTTAAACTTATTTTTAATTAAGTGTATGTATATGGGGGGTATGTACATGTTGTGTGTGCGGATGCCCTCAGAGACTGGAGGCATCAGATTCCTCTGAAGACGGAGTTATAGGCCATTGTTGGCTGCTTGACATAGGTGCTGGGAATTGAACTCTGGTCCTCTAGAAAAGTAGCAAGCACTCTTAACTGCTGAGCCATCTCTCTAGCCCATTAGATGTCATTGTTATTGTTTTATTTGGGAATGTAATATTTTGAAATTTTCTTTTAGTGAAATTTAAAATTTTTCTATTATACCTGGAAAGGCTTTCAATAGCTTTATAAATAATTGTCTATTAAATATAATTTGGGTTGGAGATATAGCTCAGGGGTAGAGTGCTTGCCTAGCATGCACAAGGCCCTGGGTTCAATGCCCAGTACCACACACCTACACAAATATGTTTAATTCATGTTTAATAGTCAGTAAAGATAAGTGTGTGAATTATCAATATACCCATAGGATAATAAACAGTTAATTTGCTAATGCTGTATTAAAGTGCTTTCTAGGAAGGATCCCACCGACCATGAATCAGCTGGGCATGCGCACGTAGAGACATGTTCCTGGAATTAACGGAGAATTTGTGGAAGATTGGCAAATACTAACTTCTTATGTGGTCAGCAGCCCACTTCTCATGTACTCAGCCTAGCTCAAAGTGATGCATGTAAACAGAGATAGGCCTCTACTGTAATCAGCTACAAACACACGCTAAGTCCCTTTCCATGATTGAAAACACGTTCATGGAGGAAAGCAAGACAACCCAATAGGAAAGTGGTTAAAATCATCTCCAGCGCTGTCACTGTCTACCATCTGTATCATCCTATCGGTGCAAGCCGCCAGGCGTGTCCAGGAGCAAGTCAAACCGCTACACACATTTCAGAACCTCACCTAAGTAAGTAGTGCTAAAAAAGAGTAACCGTTAAAATTATGACGCATATGGTTAACGGAAACGAACAGCCTTAGAGAAGATGGTCCCGTGGAGGATGAGTTTGTGTCCGTTTTTCAGATGGCTGCGTGGTGCGACTTCACCTCTGTTAGCGGAGGTTTACCTCCGGTCTCCTTCAACTCTCTTCTTGCGAACTAGGTAGAAGAGAAAGAAAAAAATTCAAAAAGACAGATAGAAAAAAAAGGATATTCTTGAAAATCATTTCAGAGCCGTGTTTCTCAACCTCCCTAACGCTGTGACCCTTTAATACAGTTCCCTGGTTGTGGTGACCCCCAACCATAACATTATTTCACTGTTACTTCATAACGATAATTTTGCTACTCTCATGAATATGTAAACATCTGATTTGCAGGATCTCTGACCCACAGGTTGAGAACCACTGATCTAGAAGATAGGATTCACCCCATGAAATTCTATGCCACACACCCAACGGCATGAATCATCTTAAACTTCAACATTCAATGAACTATGGCAGAAAATGGAAACAGCAAAATAACCTAGTCTGAGGAGGAATTTAAGTTTAAATAAAGCTGTGTCTGGTAACTGGGAACGTCTCGGTGTGTCTACGGAGTGTCGGTCCAGGAGAGACAGACCACAGAGCAGTGAACTGGGAAGTACTTTCATGGGGATTTACACACGGAGCATCATCTCCTCTGCAAAGTCCCCAGGTGAACACAGCCTCACCTGTCACCTCTGACGATGGCAGGGAGACCAGCCTTCTGTAAAGAGGCGCTCAGATTCTCCAAATCTCATCTTGATTAAAACCTCCTAAGTCCTAGATGTGGTGGAGTGCACCTGCAGTCATTGTATTCCAGAGGCTGAGGCAGGAAAATCAAGAATTGGAGGCCAATGCTGGGCGGTGGTGGCATACGCCTTTAATCCCAGCACTCGGGAGGCAGAGCTAGACTGATCTCTGTGAGTTCAAGGTCAGCCTGGCCTACAGAGTGAGATACAGGACAGGCTCAAAAACTACACAGAGAAACCCTGTCTCGAAAAACCAAAAAAAAAAAAAAAAAAAAAAAAAGAGTTGGAGGCCAACCTGGGCTACATAGTAAGTTCCAGGACAGCTTGGGCTATACAGTATGATTCTGTCTCAAAACAAACAAACAAACCAACCAACCTTAAATATTGGTCTTCAAAAAAAAAAAATGAGTGGTTTAGACAACAGGCAAAATCAGAGCTTGAGGTTCCTTTAAAGCAGTACTTGGGATCAAAGATACTGTTAAGATGGCCTGATTTGGGGGCTGGAGAGACAACTCGGTGGTTCTTTCGGATGACCTGGATTCAATTCCTAACACCCACGTAGCTGCTCACAACTGGCCATAACCCCAGTTCCAGGAGAATCGATGCTCTTTCTGACCTTCGAGGGTACCAGACACATGCATGGTACACAGACATACGTGCAAACTAACACATTCATACACAACAAATAAATACATCTTTAAAAAAAATTGCCTGATTCTATCCTTCTCTTCCCTCCTCTGACATGGTCTTACCATGCAGCCCAGGTTGGTCTTCAACCAGGATTTTCCTGCATTAGCCTCCTGAATGCTGGAATTACAGGTACACACCACCATACCTGACTGCATTCCTGCTTTCCACAACCCTTTTCTTCTCCTTTCACTTCCTGGGCTGCAGACTCTTTTGGTTGATAACAAGGGGCTTCTGGAAGCTTCCTGGGTTTGGCCAACTGGTCCCCTGTCTGAGGTCCCTCTAACCTGATACTTTCAATAGCCCAAGCTGTAGAGATGCTGCCGCCTGCAATAGCCGTTCCTGGGCATGGGATCTGTTGTCAATACTTCCAGAGTCTTGCTTTGCCTATTTTTCTGGGCTGCTCAGATACAGACCTAACATGCTTTCTGTTGGGGAATTTTTTTTTTTTTTTTTTTTTGGTTTTTCGAGACAGGGTTTCTCTGTGTAGCTTTGCGCCTTTCCTGGAACTCGCTTTTGGAGACCAGGCTGGCCTCGAACTCACAGAGATCCGCCTGGCTCTGCCTCCCGAGTGCTGGGATTAAAGGCGTGCGCCACCACCGCCCGGCTGGGAATATTATTTTAAGGTGTGTTACATACGTTTAACTCTGTGAAGCTGTGTTACTTTGCCTGTTTAAAACACTTGATGGTCTAATAAAGAGCTGAACTGCCAATAGTGAGGCAGGAGAAAGGATAGGTGGGGCTGGCAGGCAGAAAGAATTAATAGAAGGAGAAATCTGGGGGAGAGAAAGAGATCTAGCAGCCAGAGAAGGAAGAGGACTCCAGGGGCCAGCCACCCAGCTACACAGCAAGCCATGGAGTAAGAGTAAGATTCACAGAAGTAAGAAAAGGGAAAAGCCCAGATGCAAAAGGTAGATGGGATAATTTAAGGAAAGCTGGCAAGAAACAAGCCAAGCCAAGGCCAGGCATACATAAGTAAGAATAAGTCTGTGTGTGTGATTTATTTGGGAGCTGGGTGGTGGCCCCGCAAAAGAATAAAAAAAAAAAATAGCCGGGCGGTGGTGGCGCACGCCTTTAATGTCAGCACTCGGGAGGCAGAGGCAGGTGGATCTCTGTGAGTTCGAGGCCAGCCTGGGCTACAGAGGGAGTTCCAGGAAAGGCTCCAAAAGCTACACAGAGAAATTCTGTCTCAAAAAAACCAAAAAAAAAAAAAAAAAAAAGAATAAAAAAATAAACAAACAACAATATTTTCTTTCCTAGGCATCTTCTGGATGTCTCCATTCTTTTCCAAAGCCTTCTGCTGGGTCTTGGGCCTCACTCAGTACACCCGATGGGAAAGTCTGGCCCTATGTCTTGCCGGTGTCTTTCCTTCTCCCTTGTCCAAGGTCTGGTACACTGTTCCCAAACCTCAGACAAGGGACTCAAGCCTGCTGCTGGCTGACTGCCAAGTAGACTTGTCCAGTCTTAGATGTCCCTCTGTTATGCTGCTCTAGGTAGTTAAGATGTCCCCAGACCAAGCCTTCCCAATCTGCGCCATCTTTCTGCACTGTGACTGACCAGGATATGCCCCATCTCCTTCTAACAGAAGGAACAGTGTGGATCCTCAGCCAAGTGCAACAGCATGGGAAGGCAAAGAGAAAAGCTGAAAAGCTCTGCAAGAGTTTAACCTGTGTAGTAGAGCTCTGTTAGAGTACTTCACATGTAAAATACAGAAGTATTCGTGTCCCCACATTCAAGCCCGAGTATTAAAAAACAGCGCCATCAGAAGTCATACATAAGGAACCTGGGATCGCCATGCCCTGTGTCCAAACGGAGAGAGTGCCATCATCATGGAGGGAGGAGAGGAAGAGAAGGGAGAGGAGGGGAGCGTAGAAGAGGTAAAGACAAAGAAGTCGAGCAAGAGCTAAGCTACAGTAAACAGTTCTTCTAAAAGAATGTTTGTGTTGAAGTTTAAGCATCTTGAAGACCAGAGGATTGCCACGACCACCTAATAAGGTGCCCACTGAGCCCAGCAGCACGGTGTCTGAGATGCTGCCTCTGAACTGGAAGATGAATGTCCCAGAGCTCCTCTGACTGCCACCAGCACAGAGCACATCTGCCTTACCCAGGTCATTATTTTTTGTGATGGCAGCTGCCACTCTTGTCCGTGGCCCTTGCTTGGTAAACTGGTACCCGAACTTGAGGATCCTTGAGTTCTCCTCCAGCATCTGGGCTATCTCCATCTCCACTGCTGTCCCCAGCTGCTGCCTCTGGTTGTGGATGCACACCCATAGACACGGGATAAACAGGAAGGGAAAGGAAACAGTTACTTACAGGGGAAAACTCATGACTACTTCCACAAAAAGGTTCAAATTGAAAGGGAACAAGCCCCCTGAGAAGTTCCCTCCCATGCAGTCATTGGGTCTGGCTCTTCATCTAGAAACAAAATGCAGACAGCCCAATCTGCTGGTACTCAAAAATGAAAACCAACCAATCAACCAACAACCAACCAACCAACCAACCAACCAACCAACCAAAAGCAACCAAAAGCAACCAAAACAAGAAGTCAGGCTGGGGAGATGGCTCAGTGGGAAAAGGTGTTTCTGTGCAAGCATGAGGACCTGAATTTGGATCCCAGACCTACGTTATAAAGTCAGGTATGCTGTCAGGAACCTATAACTCCATAGCTGGGGGTGCAGAGATAGGTAAATCCCAGAGGTCACTGGTCAACCAGGCTAGCCAATCAGCGAGCTCCAGGTCGTGGACCCTGTTACAAAAACTAAGTCTATGGTGGGATGTGACAGGATGACCCTGACATCAACCTCTGGCCTTTACATGCACACACACACATTTTTACATACTCACATACATATGAACATACACATAAGCAAAAACAAACAAACAAACACAAAACAACAACAACAATAACAACAACAACAACAACAACAAAAATCCCAACAGCAAACAAGAAATCCTTTCTGAAGAAAAGATGAACAGGGTGTATGACTATAATCGCAGTCTCTGGGAGACTCAGGCATGAAGATTTTTAGTTCAAGGCTAGCCTGTGCTAACCCAAGGGATGGTCTCAAAAACAGATACACAACACAAAACAAAAAGAAAGAGAAGGTAATTCCTGAGTGAGTTTAAGCAAAACTAATATTTGTGCTTCCAAGTCACTCAGTGCTAACAGGATTAAAGCAGGGATGTTTCTTAAGGAGTGGGAAAGTCTGACAGTCATCAACCCAAATGCTGAATTTTTTATCCTGGAATCCATTTCCAAAAATAATTAAAGATCTAGGCTGGAGAGATGGCTCAGCGGTTGAGAGAGCCTGCTGTTCTTCCAGAAGACCTGTTTTTTAATCCCAGCACCGACACTGGGCAGCGCTCGACCTCCTATAACCCCAGAATCGAATGTCTCTGACCTCTGGCACACACACCATTAAAAATAATAAGTTAAAGATCATTGATCAATGGCCTCTAAACAAGAGCGAGCCTCGGTGTCTGGGCAGGGCCACCCCACTTTCTTTCAAGGCTGGGGCAGCATCCGGCTTTGATTCAGGTTACAGGGTAAGAGAATGAACAAAGCTGCTGGTAATACCCCTGCTGCCTGGCTAGCTTAGGGCAAGGGTAGTTGGCTCTTTATGGGTCTGCCGGCCTGCCGAGAAGTTCACTTAAGAACATGCTCTGGGGCTGGGGAGAACGCTTAGTCAGTAAAGTGCTTGTCACACAGCACGGGGATCTGAGTTCAGTCCCTGGGACCCATGTTCAAAAAGTTGGTGTGTGGGTATGTGTTTGTAATCCTAGCACTGGGGAGACAGAGATAAAGGGATCCCTGGGGCTCCCAGCCAGCATAGCCTGTCTCAAAAAAGGGTGGTCGTCATCTGAGGAAGGTAGCTGAGGTTGTCCCCTGGACTCTGTGTGAACACACACACATGCATGCCAGACACACACACACACACACACACACACACACATTGAATAGATGTTCCCTCCATGGCTCAGAAGCTGTGAAGATTTGTAGGGCAGCCAGAAGACCACATCGAGTCCACACAGAGCTTTGAGCTTTAGCCCACTCCCCGGGGGTCATCCCCCAACTGTCTAAGATGGAAGCTAGCTTTGCCCCGCCCTGCTTCTATACCTGGTTGTCAATCTTGATCTCTGTCAAGGTGTCATTCTCCCGCAGGGCTTCCACCAGGGCCAGGATTCCAGTTCCAGTGACAAAATTGGATTCTATGTTTAGACTTATCAAGGTCTTGTTGACTTTCAGCATGTCTGCAAAAGCCTTAGTATACAGAAACAGTCATTAGGTTTTCTAATGATGGGTTTCATGAACATCTCTCCCGAATAAAAACCATAGTTTTACAGCACTTAAAGAAAAACCTTTCATCTCCAAGTAAAATTAAAATTTAGAACTACAATTAAAAATGAAAATAGCAGCCGGGTGGTGGTGGTGCACACCTTTAATTCCAGCACTTGAGAGGCAGAGGTAGGCGGATCTCTCTGAGTTCGAGGCTAACCTGGGCTACAGAGTGAGTTCCAGGACAGCCATAGCTACACAGAGAAACCGTGTCTCAAACAAAAGAAAAGACAAATTAAAACATCTCAGTAGAGGCTGGAGAGCAGGCTTAGCGGTTACAAGCATTGGCTGCTCTTTTGAAGAACCTAGGTTGAATTCCCAGCACCCACATGGTGTGAGTGAGCGTATGTTTTCTCTTAGTTTTAACTGTTTATTTTTTTAAAGTCTTTTTTTTTTTTTAAAGATTTATTTATTTATTACGTATACAGCATGTTTGCCTGCAGGTCAGAAGAGGGCGCCAGATCTCATTACAGATGGTTGTAAGCCACCATGTGGTTGCTGGGAATTGAACTCAGGACCTCTGGAAGAGCAGTCAGTGCTCTTAATCTCTGAGCCATCTCTCTAGCCCCCTGTTTATTTTTTTATGTATGGGTGTTTTGCTTGCATGTAAGTCTGTGTACGATGTCTGTGCTTGACCCAGCAGAGACCAGAAGAGGGTGTTGTATCACCTGGAACTGGAGTTGCAGACAGTTGTGAGCACCATGTGGGTGCTGGGAACAAAGCCATTGGACAAATAGCCAGCTCCCTGGCCCCCACATACCGTGTGTGTGTGTGTGTGTGTGTGTGTGTGTGTGTGTGTGTGTGTGTGTGTGTAACTGAGGTTGGCCATAAAGTGCTTATCTTCCTGTTTCCACCTCTCAAGAGCTGAGACTACATACTCACTAAACACACACATTTTAATACTAGTTTAAAGTGTCTGAGTACAGTGAAATTCAAAAATACACATATAACTGGGGCTAGAGAGACGGTTCAGAGTGCTTGCCGCTCAATTATGAAAACAGGTGTCCAGATCCGAGCATTGAGGACTCCCAAACACCTGCAAGTCCAGCTCCAAGGGATCCAATGCCCTATTCTGGCCTCCATGGGTACGCCCACGTTCATGTGTGCATACACTTACGTAGACACATACATGCAGGTGCACATAGACACATGCATACATAGATAACATCTAAATAAGTTTATATATATATATATATATATATATATATATAAAACTTCAAGTATATTTGGGCCTGCTGTGGGATGGTCTGTATGTCAAATGTGTTGCTGATTGGTCAATGAATAAATCACTGTTTGGCAGTGGCCAGGCAGGAAGTATAGGCGGGACTAACAGAGAGGAAAATTGGAGAACAGGAAGCTGGGTGGGAGAGACACTGCCAGCCGCCATGATGACAAGCCGCATGTGAAGTACTGGTAAGCCACAAGCCACGTGGCAAGGTATAGATTAATAGAAATGGATTAATTTAAGCTGTAAGAACAGTTAGCAAGAAGCCTGCCATGGCCATACAGTTTGAAACCAATATAAGTCTCTGTGTTTACTTGATCGGGTTTGAGCGGCTTGGGACTGGTGGGTGGCAGAGATTTATCCTGACTGTGGGCCAGTGGTGGTGGTGCACACCTTTACTCTAGCAACAAATGGCGTCCAACGTGGTGGCAAGAGTTTCCACCTAAAAACTGAGAAAAAGGATTCTAAAACGGAGCTAAAAACAGCTCCTAGTTGTCTCGTTTAAGGTAGCGGCAGCCTGTGTGTTTGAGCTACTATGGCGGGTTCCTGGCGTGCATGCTCGACCTGCAGTATGGCGGGAATGAGGCCTCTGCAAGTGGCACATTAAGCTGTGTGGTGGATTTAGACTTTGCTAGTATAAAACAAAAAAAGAGGTTTCTACACGCTGCTTGGATATAAGCATAGAGACCCACGATAGCTCCCAGACCTGGTGGAAAAGCATACCGCTGCCATGTTGGGAAGCTGAGGTGGGCGGAGCCAGCAGCCACAGCTGCTGCAGCTTAAAGCAACAGATTCACAATAAGACAGATTCAGATGTAATAGTTTAAAATATATGTAGGCTTAAAAGAGACAAAAAAAGATGATATATACAGTATAGAAACAAATACATAATTTTAAAAAATAAAGTCTTTAAAGAGACAATAAAATTAATATAAAAAAATAAGCCACGTAAAGATGAATATTACACAGAGAATCTGGATTGTGTTGTCTTTGGGATTTTTAACTGCAGAAAAACATTTGATTGTAAAAGCTGTTGAGTTATGCCAAAATGTATATTTTAAAGGTACCTTGACTTCAAAATTTGGATATAAGGATATGTTACTTTGGAAAGGAGACTCTGCTTTTGTTTCCACAGAAAGCCAGAGGCTATGGATTTATTCCAGATTAAGATACATCAGGTTTGACCAGCCAAGACCACCTGAAAGGTCTCCGATGACACCATGGCCCAGATGATCCAACATCCAGAACCATTTCAAGGCAACTGGCTCAGATGATACAGCCTCATGGACTACTCCATGATCCTAAAATTTTCTTTGTTTCCCCAGAAGATACAGCACCCCCCTCCAGCAGGAAGTAGTAAGAGAAGCTATGCCCAAATTCCCAAATATACCAAGCTGACTTTGGAGATGTGTAAAGGTTAAAACCTTCCTTTTTAAGAAAAGAAAAGGGGAGGTGCTGTGGGATGGTCTGTATGTCAAATGTGTTGCTGATTGGTCAATGAATAAATCACTGATTGGCAGTGGCCAGGCAGGAAGTATAGGCGGGACTAACAGAGAGGAAAATTGGAGAACAGGAAGCTGGGTGGGAGAGACACTGCCAGCCGCCATGATGACAAGCTGCATGTGAAGTACTGATAAGCCACAAGCCACGTGGCAAGGTATAGATTAATAGAAATGGATTAATTTAAGCTGTAAGCACAGTTAGCAAGAAGCCTGCCATGGCCATACAGTTTGAAACCAATATAAGTCTCTGTGTTTACTTGATCGGGTTTGAGCGGCTTGGGACTGGCGGGTGGCAGAGATTTATCCTGACTGTGGGCCAGTCAGGAAAACTCTAGCAACATGGGCCCTACCCAGATGAACAGGGACTGAGTCAGGATCTCTAAGGCTGTGGCCTGGCCTTCTGCTCCTCAGGTGAATAAACAGTTGATTGGCAGCCACTTTAAGTCATAGAAGCAATAACTAGAAGAATGAAAAACAAATTGCTAATAGTGATTGCTTCTAGGGAGTAGACCAAGGCAGTTCTAAACTATTTTAATTACCTTGTTGTCAGTCAGGACAGGAAGAAGGAAGAGAAGAAATTCCGCATGAAGTGGAATTTCTCAACCTTGACGTGGCTAAGATCTGGGCTGGGAGAGTTCTTTGCTATGGGTGTCCTGTGTGCTAGGCTGGTTAGCAGCCTTCTGGCTTCTGAGACCTAACACATGCCAGTAGTCCTGTCCTCACGACAACAACCCCAAACATCTCCTGCCACCACTGCCAGTGTGGCCTGGGAGCAACACAGCTCTTGAGCTGAGAATAACTAGGATATAATTAAAATCCTGTGTGCCGGGGTTGGGGATTTAGCTCAGTGGTAGAGCACTTGCCTAGTAAGCACAAGGCCCTGGGTTCGATCCTCAGCTCCAAATAAATAAATAAATAAATAAAAATAAATAAAATAAAATAAAAATAAAATCCTGTGTGCTGACAGTTATTTGAATGGAAAGCCCAGGGATATGAGATGGGATGGCACACTATACAATTCAAGGTACATTTATCCAATTCTCTCTCTCTCTCTCTCTCTCTTTCTCTCTCTGTTTTGATTTTGATTTATCAAGACAGGGTTTCCCTGTGCAGCCCTGTCTGTCCTGGAACTCACTCTGTAGACCTGGCTGGCCTTGAACTCAATGATCTGCCTGCCTCTCCCCACAAGTGATGGGATTAGAGGCATGCATCACCATACCCAGCTTAATACTTGATTTTAAAATTAAACGTACACATTCTAATCAGAGCATGAGAGGGGAGTTTGGCAAGCCTTTCCTTACGAGACACACCAAGCTCTGGCATTAACTTCCAGTTCCAGAATAATGAAATGTCAGAGCAATTAGTTCTTTACAAGAACTTGCAGGACCTCCTGGCTGCCAGCCACGATCATGTTGCTTTATCTTAAACTTGAGAAAACACTTTTTCTCCAACTGAACAAAATGGAGCACACACAGCCAAACATAACTCGGAGTTATGACACCCAGGTTCACTTCAGTTCAGCAACTATCTGAGCATCTACTTCATGTACTGGGATAATAATGTCAGGGAAACATGGATATGATTTCTTAAATGTTATATAAATAATTAGAGTAGAAATACATGTCTCAGAAAAAGATTTGTTTCTGTACTCTGTGGGATTATACAAAAATACCATTTCCTGGGGCTAGAAAGATGGCTCAGCAGTTCGGAGCACATGCTGTTCTTGGTGAGGACCCAAGTTCAGTTCCCAGCACTCACGTCAGGCTGCTTATAATCACCTGTAACTCAGCTCCAAGAGTCCAGGTACCCTCTTCTAGACTTCAAGGATACCTGATCTCACACAAGCACACATATATACGAATGCACAGTTTAATTAAAATTAAAATAAATCTTTTAAATCTAACAGAAACCAGAGTACAAAGCTTCCCTGCTGACCAAATGGTAGCCACAAGAAATATAGCTGCTGTGGATATCGCTCTGTATAAATAAAATGCTGATTGGCTAGTAGCCAGGCAGGAAGTATAGGCGGGAGAAGCAGAGAGGAGAATTCTGGGAAGTGGAAGGCTGAGGCAGAGAGATGCTGCCAGCTGCCGCCATGAGTACCAACATGTAAGATACTGGTAAGCCACGAGCCATGTGGCAACTTATAGATTAATAGAAATGGTTTAAGATATAAGAACAGTTAGTGCCGGGCGGTGGTGGTGCACGCCTTTAATCCCAGCACTCGGGAGGCAGAGCCAGGTGGATCTCTGTGAGTTCGAGGCCAGCCTGGGCTACCAAGTGGGTTCCAGGAAAGGCACAAAGCTACACAGAGAAACCCTGTCTCGAAAAAACCAAAAAAAAAAAAAAAAAAAAAAAAAAAAAAGAACAGTTAGCAAGAAGCCTGCCATGGCCATACAGTTTATAAGTAATATAAGTCTCTGTGTGTTTACTTGGTTGGGTCTGAGTGGCTGCAGGACTGGCGGGTGAGAGAGATTTGTCCTGACTGTGGGCCAGGCAGGACCAGAAAAGCTCTAGCTACATATAGCTACTAAGCCTTTGAAAAATAGCCAGTTTGAACTGATGTGCTATAAATGTTTTACACTGTGGATTTCAAAGATGAAATATGAATAAAAGAACATGGAATATCTCATTATAGTTCCAAATTATATCTACACTCCTACACATATCTATATATACTTATATTTTTAACATTTATTTTTATTTTATACATATGGGTGTTTTGCCTGAAAGCATGTCTGTGCACCATGCGCATGAGGTACCCAAGGATGCCAGAAGAGGAGGACACCTGGAGTTACAAGTGCTTCTGAGTTGTCTGGAGTAGGTGCTCTGAATCAACGCAGGTCCTCTGGAAAAGCCACAAGCACTCGTAACGGCTGAGCCATCTCTCCAGCCTAAGATGTGTTGCTCTACATCTCCAATCATCATGCCAGGGCAACTTTGTTTTTTTCTAGTTTGACTTGAGAGTGGAGTGATGGATGTTGTAGACTCTCAGGCTGATTCCCAGAATCCCTATCAACCACAGATTTTAGCCGATGTACCACAGAAGGGCTCTGTGTGTAAATGTGGCAGAGTGGCACCAGGAAGACCTGGTGGTGACTCTTGGCTCTGTCACTCCTTGCGACACCTGGGATCATCTACCCTCTCTCTTTTTTTTTTTTTTTTTTTTTTTTTCGAGACAGGGTTTTTCTGTGTAGCTTTGCGCCTTTCCTGGGACTCACTTGGTAGTCCAGGCTGGCCTCGAACTCACAGAGATCCGCCTGGCTCTGCCTCCCGAGTGCTGGGATTAAAGACGTGCGCCACCACCGCCCGGCTCTACCCTCTCTTTTGTTACAGTGAGAACTAACGACAGCACACACTTAGAGCTCTGCAGCCATGTCCGGGTGAGGCAGTACACACGCAAACCTGAGTGACCTGTGCTGCAGTCACTGAGTCCACAGGAAAGCGGCTTGGACTAGGGAATGTAAACAAGAAGAATAGCAGAGGTGGTTCCGGCAGGAACAGCATTTACTGAGCTAAGCAGCTTTCCTGTTTGGCTGAATTACTGAAAATACATAAAAGGACTAGGAGCTTTGCTATTTTCCTTCCCATATTCTAATTAACTGGATGTCAAACAATGTATTTTGGTTGTTTAAAGTCTGCATGGAAAATTAATGCACATAAAGATTAAGATAAAATATACTCTGACTTTTTTTTATATGTGCCAAGTTCAAGTAGGCTTTGGGGGTCATAATATCCATTGACCATTACAGAAAGTCACTGTAGAAGCAGATGTTTCAGAACGCCCTTTCTCAACACAGAACAAACTCTAAATATTTATTTAGCTAAATGCCAAACGCTTGTCTTGTTTCTCTTTTGGAATGTGCAGCACAGACAAGAATCCAGTCAATTCGACATGCTTGCAGTGTATACAGGCGCCAAGAACTGTAAGTTCGTTAGATTAAGTTGACCAGATCTAAGACTTTCAATTGATAGAATAAATTAAAAAGATTCTCTAAGAGCCAGGAATAGTGATTTCATGCCTAAAATCTCAGCACTAGGCAAGCTGAGGCAGGAGGATTCCTGGGAATTCAAGGCCAGTCCAAGATATATAGTGAGTTCAAACCCAGGTCACATAGCAGACCCTGTCTCAAGACAACTAAGAGCAAAGTTAGCTAATTTTAAACAATAAGAAAAAAACTAAAAATAGAGTCTCCAGGGAATTAAATGACTTCATATTGTGTTTCAAGTCTTACTTACAAGGGCCACAGGGTCATTGCTGCGGGTTGCAGCCAGGCTGAACTTCTTCACATGGGTGTTGGTCTCCAGGGCCTTTGCAAATTCCTTCAGGGTTGGAATTGGAATGTTCTAGAGCACAGAAGACAGGGCTAGTTATACACCACTCAAAAAACACTCACCCTCAACTTGAAAATACTTTTTTTCATTTTTGATTGGACCCAGAGTCTCACATGTGACAAGCCCCCATCCCCACTTTTAACTATCACCTATATTTAGGCGGCTGATTACATAGCCTCTCTACAAGTTTTATTGGTCAGGTGTGATACCTAAGCTATTCTGAGTGAATAGTGCCTCCTAGTGCTCGTTAAAGGAATGTAACCCAAAAGATTTTTCTTCTTCTCATTATAGATCATATTCTAGGACAGGTTAACAACTGTATATATATATACCCTTAGATATACTTTTATTTTTGGCCTGAAAATTCCTGTTACCTTTCCTCTAATTATTATCTACTAACATCTGAAGACCCTGCTGAAATACTTCCTCTTTTGTTTTATGAGTTCTCCTACTTCAAACTTTCCCTTTCTTACAGTTCCATAACATTTTGAGGTTAACCACATCATGCTGCCAACACTTGGTTAGTGTTTTTCTCCTACTACAACTTTCCTAAGTAAAGACTGGATGGATCTTAACTGGGTCTCCTGGAACCCAGGTTAGCTTCGGTCTGGCCTCGATTTCCCTACATGGCTAATGCTCCTTTGAACTCATGGTGATTCCCTTGCCTCTACCTCTACAAGGTGGGGTCTTTACAAAGTGAGGTCTCTTGCCTACAGCCACATGGGCGTGCCATGTTGGAAGTAGATCCTTTAGATACAAGGTGTGAGCAAGCACATTTGTTTGCAATCCTTTCTTTTTTTTAGATTTATTCATTGTATTTTATGAGTGTTTTGCATGCATGGATGGATGTGTTCCTGCACTCTTTTTTACAGATCACACACTACAGTACTGATCACTGTGGAGGTAAGCAGCAGGCAGCAAAAGGCAGCAATGGACAGGCGCCTGACTGCCTTATGGACAAGTGAGTAATCTCTTCAAGTCTCCCTAAAGATGAAATAAGATAATGAATTTTAAGTAGCCAAGGATATAACACAGTGAACACTCCATAAAAACAATATTACTGGAGCTGGAGAGACGGTTCAGTGGTGAAGAGCACTTGCTGTTCTTGCAGAGGACCTGAGTTCAGTTCCCAGCATCCATGTTGGGTGGCTCACAACTGCCTGTAATTCCAGCTCCAGGGGCTGCAATGCTCCCTTCCGACCTCTACAGGCAACTTCACTCAAGGGCACACACCCACACACAGACACTTATACACAGAGTTAAAAATAAATCTTTGGAACAATACTAAGTGCTAGGGATCAGTCCAATGAGAAGGAACAAAACAGCCAGGCTGATGGCACATGTCTGTGATATCTTTAGGGAGGTAGAGGCAGGAGGATGGAGGATTTATTGTAAGTTCAAAGAGTTTAAAGCCAGTCTTGGCAACACAGTGAAACCTCGTCTCAAATGAGGCCAGCAACTAATGAACCAGCCAGCCAACTGAGGAGAATGAATAAGGCAGGTCTCAGGCAACTCATATTTGTTCATGTTCTCTCTCCCCTTCCCTTCCTTCAACAGCAGCATGATGTCCAACATGGTCCATGAAGGAAGCTGTGGGAGGAGATTCCTGAGACTTTATGAGAAAACTCCAAGTAAAGAAGACAAGAGTCTTATCATCTCTGTTCCTCCATAACATGGGTTCTTCTTGGAATGTGCTTTCTTGCCCCTCCCAGGTGGAGGGCACAGGAGTGACTTTACTTCAGATTATTCATTACAACTGGCTATTGTTATTTGTTTATATGCCTCTATAGAAAAAAAAAAAAAGGGCATGTGTTTGCCACATGTGGCTTGTCCTTGTGATGGTACACTTTACTCAGGTGACTCTTCTTAACCCTCAGAGTACAAACTGTCTAATGCTCTGAATAAAGTTGGCTATTGCTTGAGACTTCAGTCAGGCTCATTTTTAGGCCCCGCCCTCCCAGGTTCACATTGCCATCTAGAGTGGCAACAGCAATGACTTATCACCAAAAAGAGTAAGGTAGAAATGACAATGACAGTCTGTGACTTCAGACACCAGGGCATGGAAAATACTGTTACGCTGTTCTTGCATTTGAAACTGTGTGAAGAGGCTGGGGACACAGCTAAGTGGCAGAGTGCTGTAGCACGCACACACACACACACACACACACACACACACACACACACGGCCTTAGGTTTGACTCCTTGCACTGAAAAATAAAAAAAAGCTGAAGGTCTGATTCAGCAGCAGGCACAATGTTGTTCCTTTGGCCCAGGTACTGTGAGTCTTTTCAGTGAGTTCTAGAAATTCTTCTTCCTGTCGACCCATTTCTTCTGATTGGTTATTCTGTCTGAAGTCAGTGACTTGGAAGAACTGCAAGCCAGTGTAAGAGCAGGCAGCTGACGCTCTCTAACCAGTTCTGTGATGCCAGGATAAGCCACGGGGGAAGGGCAGTGACATACCTTGATGTTGTTGAGGTTGACCTCTTGCAGGCTGGGGTCATTGGCCTTCATCTGCTGCAGACTTGCTTCCACATTTGTGGGGTTCGGGGGCTCCTCAAATACTGGTTTGGCTTTTTCACCCTTGACAACGTCTACAACATAAGTTTTAATTAGTGCAAGAGGTCTTCTATAAAACTGGAGATGATCATTAGATGCTAAAAAAGCCTTTGACAAAATCCAATACCCCTTCATGATAAAGGTCTTAGAGAGATCAGGAATACAAGGAACATTCCTAAACATAATAAAGGCAATTTATAGCAAGCCAACAGCCAACATCAAATTAAACAGAGAGAAACTCAAAGCGATACCACTAAAATCAGGAACAAGACAAAGCTGTCCACTCTCCCCATTCAATATATTACTATATTATAGTACTAGAAGTTCTAGCTAGAGCAATAAGACAACAAAAGGAGATCAAAGGGATACAAATTGGAATGGAAGAAGTCAAACTTTCACTATTTGCAGATGATATGATAGTATACATAAGTGACCCCAAAAATTCTACCAGGGAACTCCTACAGCTGATAAACTCCTTCAGTAAAGTGGCAGGATACAAGATCAACTCAAAAAAAATCAGTAGCCCTCCTATACACAAATGATAAAAGGGCTGAGAAAGAAGTCAGAGAAACATCACCCTTTACAATAGCCACAAATAATATAAAATACCTTGGGATAACACTAACTAAACAAGTGAAGGACCTTTTTGATAAGAACTTTAAAATCTCTAAAGAAAGAAATTGAAGAAGATATCAGAAAATGGAAGGATCTCCCATGCTCATGGATAGGTAGGATTAATATAGTAAAAATGGCAATCTTACCAAAAGCAATCTACAGATTCAACGCAATCCCCATCAAAATCCCAACACAATACTTCACAGACTTGGAAAGAAAAATATTCAACTTCATATGGAAAAACAAAAGACCCAGGATAGCTAAAAGAATCCTATATGATAAAGCAACCTCTGGAGGCATCACCATCCCTGACCTCAAGCTCTACTATAGAGCTATAGTAATAAAAACAGCTTGGTACTGGTATAAAAACCGACATACGGACCAATGGAATCGAATTGAAGACCCTGACATTAATCCATGCACATATGAACACCTGATTTTTGACAAAGAAGCCAAAACTATACAATGGAAAAAAGAAAGTATCTTCAACAAATGGTGCTGGCATAACTGGATGTCAATATGTAAAAGATTACAAATAGATCCATATCTGTCACCATACACAAAACTCAAGTCCAAGTGGATCAAAGACCTCAACATAAATCCAGTTACACTAAACTTAATAGAAGAGAAAGTAGGAAGTACTTTTGAATGCATTGGCACCGAAGATCACTTCCTAAATATAACACCAACAGCACAGACCCTGAGCACAACAATTAATAAATGAGACCTCTTGAAACTGAGAAGCTTTTGCAGGGCGAAAGACACGGTCAATAAGACAAAAAGACAGCCAACAGAATGGGAAAAGATCTTCACCAACCCCACATCTGACAGAGGATTGATCTCCACAGTATATAAAGCACTCAAGAAACTAGACATCAAAATACTAAACAATCCAATTAAAAATGGGCTAAAGAGCTAAACAGAGAATTCACAAAAAAGAATTGCAAATGGCTGAAAGACATTTAAAGAAATACTCAACATCCTTAATCATCAGAGAAATGCAAATCAAAACGACTCTGAGATATTACCTTACACCTGTCAGAATGGCTATGATCAAAAACACTAATGACAGTCAATGTTGGAGAGGATGCAGAGCAAAGGGAACACTACTCCACTGTTGGTGGGAATGCAAGCTTGTACAACCACTGTGGAAATCAGTATGGCGGTTTCTCAGAAAATTAGGAATCGAACTACCTCAAGACCCAGCCATACCACTCTTGGGCATATACCCAAGGAATAATGATTCATACCACAAAGATACATGCTCAACTATGTTCATAGCAGCACTATTTGTAATAGCCAGAACCTGAAAACAACCTAGATGCCTTTCAACTGAAGAATGGATTAAGAAAATGTGGTATATATACACAATGGAGTACTACTCAGCAGAGAAAAACAACGAAAGCATGAAATTTGCAGGCAAATGGATGGAACTAGAAAAAAATCATCCTGAGTGAGGTAACCCGAACCCAGAAAGACAAACATGGTATGTACTCACTCATAAGTGGATTCTAGATATAAAATAAAGAACAATCAGACTACAACGCACAGAACCATGGAGGCTATATATATAGCATGGGACGACTGTGGCTTATAATAAATTTTGGTTTTACTCAAAAAAAAAAAAAAACAAACTGGAGATGATTTCCCCAGAACGCATGGTTCTTTCATGTGTAGTCTGACACTCCAATGTCAACCACAGTAAGTTGATGCTCACTGAGCAGGCAGGGCAGTGGTGTGTCTCTGGGTTAGTGTTCAAGGAAGATGCTTTTCAGCCCCCATGAGGCAACTCAGTGGCTAACACTGCATGAAGTGAAACTACAGAAGGCCCTGGAGCAAACTCCACCCCCCAAGACATCCACTGGCAGCTACTACTGCACCATGTGGACTTTCTCCACACTATCTTCACCGGACCGTAGGCTCTGAGATGCAAAAATGGGCACCATAATGAGTCTCTTCATTTCCCAAGTCCTTTCTAGAATTTTTGTGTGATGCTGAGACTTGAACCCAGGACCTGCTCAAAGCACATGTTCTACTGCTGAGCTAGCCTCTGTCCCTAGCTCCCAAATATTAATACCCCTCTAGCTTCTTGACCACTGCCCTCCTCCAATTTCCATTTTGCAGCTTTAGCTTTGAGAAAGGTATGGAAAGACCAAGGGATGGAAAGGAAGAATGAAAACCATCTTAAAAGCAATTATTGGGGGCTGGAGACATGGCTCAGCAGGTAAGAGCACTTACTACTCTTACAGAGGACTGGGGTTCAGTTCCAATCACCCTCAAGGTAGCTCACAACATCAGTCCAGTTTCAGGGACCTGAAACCCTCTTCTGGTTTCCTTGGGCAACGGATATACATGTAGTGTACACACACACACACACACACACACACACACACACACACACACACACACACACCAAAACACTTATAAAAATAAATGATAAATAAATAAATAAACAAAAGAAATTACTTGAGCCAGATATAGTCAGTAATTACAAACCTGTAATACCAGAATTTGGGAAACTGAGGCAGGAGTATCATGAGTTTGAGGCCAGCCTGCACAGTGAATTTCAGGCCTGTCTCAAAATAAACAAACAGAAACCAAACAATACACACTAATTTATCAGAAAATATTTGGAATGCATGTAACATACAAAGGACTAATATTTTAATGTACAGAGAGCTCCCCGACCCCCACCCCAAGACAGGGTTTCTCTGTATAGCCCTGACTATCTTGGAAATCCATCTGTAGACCAGGCTGGCCTCGAACTCAGAGATCTGCCTGCCTTGGCCTCCCTAGTGCAGGGATTAAAGGCCAGGGTATCCTTCATGCTTTCTGGGGGAAGTAGGTATTTAGAGTCCAGTGACCAGCATCCATTATCAAGACTAAAAGACACTGGAATTCAAAGGGAACACAGCCAAGCTTCCCTCGTTGATTAAAATACCCTTTGGAACCTGAAATTATTTGCATCCTGAGCTGACTCTTCGAACTTATCAGGATCCTCCCCACCCCACACCCCCTTGCACTGGACTACCTGCCACGAAATGTGTGTTCCGTGGTTCTAGCCACACTGCCAGGCAGAGTGCCCACCATCAGCTTCTCCCCCGGGTTTGATTGCTCAGAGCCCAGTGATTGCTTCTAGAAGCAATGGGTCTCTCCTCTAGGCACAGACAGAGACTCTGAAGTTTCCCACACCCCCAGATTCCTGAGGGACTCACTCCTGATAGGCCCCTTGTGACCTTTGCCATTGGTCGTTTCTTCATCAAACTTCGGATTGTTGAGCAAATTGTGGACTCCAAGGACAGCTGCAAACACAGGGAACAAAAACAGGCACGAAGTTTAGAAACACATTAGGATGGCCACGTGTCAATCTGCACCTTGGCGAACGGTTCGTTATTCAGCATGGAGTCTCCAGGTTCCCTTTCCTGGCACAGCGTGTGCTGTGTGTGCAGCATTCAATAAACTTGCTGCTAAAACCCCCCAAGACCATCAGTAAACTCTACATGCCTCTGTGCGTGTTTAAACGGGCAGGATCCTTCAGGAGCTGAGAAACAATGATGCAGCCACATCTTCCAACCTCAGACACACTGCTCAGTCCCTGTGCCCGTCAGTCTTAACTGTCAATTTGACACCATCTAAAGTCACCGGGAAAGAGTCTTAATGGGGGATTATCTAGATTAACTGGCTGGCAGTCATGTCTTTGGGGGGGTTGTCTGGATTACTGTTGGTGCAGAAAGACCCAGCCCACTGTGTGCACCACAACTTCTCGGGCTAGGCCCGGAACTGTGCCAGAGTGAAGAAAGCTAGCTGCAGAGGCAGCAGCATCTATGTGTTTGTTTCTCTCTGCTCTTGGCTGTGGATGTGACGCAACTCGGGCCTTACTTTCCCGTTTTGACTTCCCCTCAATGATGGACTGTAACCTGGAAATGTAAGCAGAATAAATCCTTTCTGCCCCTGAATTGCTTTTGATCAGGGTGTTTTATCATAACGAAAGAAATGAAACCAGAATATTCTCCTAGTTAAGTAGACCCAATGAAACCAGAATATTCTCCTAGTTAAGTAGACCCAATGAAACCAGAATATTCTCCTAGTTAAGTAGACCCAATGTTCAGCTGTTTGGTGTGTGTGTGTGTGTGTATGTGTGTTATTTTGTTTTCAGGGTCTCTTATTCCCCTGGATAGCCTGGAACTCACATGTGGGCTAGGCTGACCTCAAACTCAGTGTGATCCTCCTGCCTCTGTTCCCAAATGCTGTGATTACCCGTAGATGCCACCAGACCCACCTCCATTTAGTTTCCTTATCCGTAAAATAAAAAAGGTGGGATTCAATCTAAGGATTTTGTTTTGTTTAAAGTCTTACTATGTAACCCAGGCTAGCCTGGAGCTCATCACATAGACCAGGCTGGCCTTATACTGGCAGTAATCCTCCTGCTTCTGCCTCCTGAGTATTGAGATTAACACATACTGTACCAACAAGCCTGACTGAGTCTAAGGATTTTAAAGATCTGCTGTGATGTAGATTATTATGGGTTCTTTTTCCTCCCTCAGAGGCAAAAGCAGAAAGGTTATGGTCTTCTTTCGGTAGAAAAAGGGAGCTGTCCTTCCTTTGCCTTTAGGAAAGAAGAGGAGGGCTTTCCGGAACAAACCGTCAGCTGAGCAGAACAAGGTCTCAGTCCCTGACGGTAGATCGGAACTGGCACCAGGAGGCAGGCATTCAGGGAGCCACACTATGCCATGCAGGGAGGTGCTGGGCAGGTTGAAACAGATTTCCCTTCTAGTGAAATTGCTGGGGAGAGGCACGGGCCGCTGAGATTCTTGACTGGATCTACTATAAGCTACACTTTAGAAGGGAGGCAGCCAGCAAGGTACAAGGAAGGGCCAGGGGTTAAGCCAGTAAGAACAGGAGTAAGAGGAAGGTGTGTGACGGCCCACATCTGCACTTGAGAAGCCCAAGGATTCTGGGAGTCGGCGTGGGGCTATAGAGAGAGATTCAAGGCCAGCCTGGACAGCCTACACTACATGGTCCATACCCCGATTTGAAAAAACAAGGGCTGGGGCTACAGCTCGGTGGTGGAGCACCTGTCCGGCATGCCCAAGGCCCTGGGTTCAATCCTTCGCACTGCAAACAGAGTAACAACAACCACGATGATCATGGAGTTCAGGGAGCGGGGCCTGGAGCACACAGAGTTTGAACTCTGACTGCCACACCCTAACTGTGTGATCTGGGAAGCCACTGAAGGCCCACGGAGTCTGCCTCCTCATTAACCCCAACCGACTGTTAACTTGATTAATGGCTAGGTTAGTAAGGCACACTCAGGGTTTTCTGTGGGCACGCTTCCCGAGGGGGTTCACCAAGGGGAGAAGCCTGGCTCTGAATGTACCTGGCACCACCCCATGAGGGGAAAAAAGGCGAACTGCTTGCTGCCTTCCACACCAGCACAGGCAACGTTTCTACCCTCCTTCTCTCTCCCCGAGTGGCTGTGAGTCCTTCCACCCACAGGTTATTTTCAGTCTTCTAGAAAAATCCACTGGAGAGAAGACGCCGCGAGAAGGCTTTCCACTGAGTTCTAGGGAGCGTCTGAGCAGGGAGGGCACTGAGTGAGGGGAAACAAAGCAGTTTCTAGCTGCATTACCTCCCTGGATTTATTACCTGGATACCAGGCTCAGGCATCTTCAGAATGATTGCTTTTTCCCCCCCTCCTTTCTCAGGTGTTTTCTGGGAATCAAGTCTCACCCTCCATTCTTTTTTTGGGCAATTCCAGTAAAGCCTGTGAGGCAACCCTTGGGAAAAGCAGTAACTATGCAGGGATCTTTCCACAGTAACCACAGGGCCAAGATGCCCAGTCACTGCAAAACACCTTCCTCACCAGGTGACTGGGATGCTACAGAGACCTCTGACAGACATACGGACATGTGAACCTGATGTCACCTACTGCTATCCTCAGAGATGGATGGAAATGTGAGGAGATGGCAGCCGTATTGAATAAGGCAGAGGAGGCATCCCCCCGAGGAAAGAGCTTTCTACATCTATCTTCTAGTGGAATAAGAACCAGCCTTCTGGGGCTGGGAAGCAGCTAAACCGATGAACAACTTCACTTGAAAGCACAAGGACTTGGGTTAGAACTCCAGAACTTACGTAAGAAACAGGTGCGTATCGGGTGTGGTGGTGTGCACGTGTGCTCTCAATGCTGTGGAAGTAGAGCCAGGCCTTGGGCTCAACAAGTCAAGGCTCCTGCCACCCTAAAGTGCAAGCTGGCTGGCCTGAGTGTGATCCTCAGAACCCACAGGCAGGCGAACGAGGGACCCAGCTTCATGAAGTTGTCCCGTGAACTTCATGGACATACTGAGACTAGCCATGACTCCTGATCCTCCTGCCTCCACTTCCTGGGTGTTGGGAATAAGAATACACACCACCACACCTAGCTCGGTTAGATTTTTTTTTTTAAGTCAGAGACTCACTATGTAGCCCGTGCTACTCTAGCAAAACTATGTTGCTCACCCATCCACATCACACATCACATACTGTTTTTTTTTTTTTTTTTCATTTTAGAAAGGACTTAGTTTGGGGGAAAGACTTGTTTTTCATTTCTTTTGTAACATTTGAGCTTTTTATAGCGACACGGTTGTTTGAATGCTAACAGCCACCATTGACTCATATGTTTGAATACTTGGTCCTGAGTTGGTGGAACTGTTTGGGAAGGGTTAGGAGGTGTGGCCTTGTCAGAAAAGGTGTGTCACGGGGTAGGCTCTGAGGTTTCAAAAGACTCATTGCCAGTGTGCTGTCTCTCTGCCTCCTGCTTTCGGATCAAGATGTGAGCTCTCAGCTGTTCCTGCTGCCATGTCTTTGCTTCACCACCACAGACTCTAACCTTCTGAAACCAAAAGCTCAATTAAAACACTTTCTTTTATAAGTTGCCTTGGTCATGGTGTTTTGTCACAGCAACAGAAAAGTAACTAATACAATCTACATGGAAAAATCAATTAAAATAACAATCCTCATGTTTGGGTTTGCTCAGGGAACTAGAAGGCTAGCTGACCTGCTGGCACAAATCAGCTTGTAACAGCAATTATGAGGGAGACCAAGAACTCCACAGAAATGTGACCATGAGGCCAGCTGGTGATGGCGCACGTCTTTAATTCCAGCACTCAGGAGTTAGAAGCCAGCCTGGTCTACAGAGAGAGAGAGAGTTCTAGAACAGCCAGGGCTACACAGAGCAACTCTTTCAAAAAACAGAAACTAAAACAACCAAACAGAAAGAAACATGACTATGAAATGTGACGTCTATAAGTGCATTTTCATGTGGAAGCTCCTGGGAGAGCATATGGGGATATTATTTCATTCATTTTACATTTTGTTTTCTTTTGAGATAGGATCTTAATTCTGTAGCTCAGGCTGGGCTCAAACTCACAATAATCCTCCTGTCTCAGTCTTTAGAGTGCTAGTGCTACCATTTCAGGCATGGGTCACCATCCCTAGTGTGCAATTTTATTTCTATAACTTCTCAACACTATTTCAAATCTGTTCTCCTCCATTTATTACAGGAGTTTTGTAGGATGGGCATCATCTGAACATGAGAATGGGTTAAAACATTGCTCAGCCACAGGATCTAGTCTTGATAAAACAGGGCTGCTGCTACCCCCGGCAGCACAGTACTCACCAGCTACCAGAAGCTCCGAGGTTTGCACCAGGGGAGTGAGTGCACACCTGGAGGTCACCAGACAGCCCCAAGAACTAACCTGCAAGATCATAGAGGTCAGAGTCTGAGGCGCTGGCCAAGGCTTCCTCCAGTTCTGGGTCCAGAGTCACTTTCTCTTCTTTAGGAGCTTCTACTGGCTTTTCTTTGGGGATGAACACTCTCCCTTTAAATTAGAAGAAAAACAAAGACAACCTTGTGCTGTGGAACAATCTTTTTGCACACTATGAATATGTATTATTCTCATTGTTAGTAATAAAGCTGATTGGCTGGTAGCTGGGCAGGAAGTATGGGCGGGACAACCAAACTAAGTAAGGGAGAAGAAGGGTGGAGTCAGGAGTCACCAGCCAGACGCAGAGAAAGCCAGACGAGAATGCTGTACTGAGAAAATGTACCAAGCCACGTGGCTAAACACAGATAAGAGGTATGGGTTAATTTAAGTGTAAGAGCTAGTTAGTAATCTGCCTGAGCTACCAGCCTGTTGGCAGCAGACGCTGAACAGGCCTTGTGCATAGCCTGTTTGCTTGCCCTAAGGTGCCCTAAGGTGCCCTTTTGTCCTTCCTCTTTTCCTGTGGTAAGTCACAGGATGTTTACGATATAGCTATTGCTGGAACACTCTTTCGAGAATCAGCTCTCTGCTGATTCGCTTGCAGTTTTCCTGTTTGGCTGGGATGGGAACCTGAGGACCATACCCTGACCCCATGGACAGTAGGAAGTAGCAGGGTATATAAGGCTGATATAAAGGAGCTCTTTTTGGATGATGAATCACGGTGTGTCCTGAGTGCTGCTTAACCTCGTCAGTTCTCGGTCTCCGGCCATGCGGGGTCGCAGCAAGTGGAGGGTTCCATCGAGACCTGGAAAGAGGGGTAAGCGAACGAGGCTCACCCTAAAAGGAGGGGTGGAGGATTGAAACATTGGTACGTACCATGGGTAATTCTACTGCAAAAGCTCAGCTGGCCACTGAGGTAAGGGAATTGTTAAGTAAGCAAGGAACAGGAATGAAGTCTAGTCCCGCACTCACATTTGTGGACACTACAGCTGAAGCTAGCCCGTGGTTTCTGACAGGAGGAGGGTTGAATATCCCTGATTGGGAACAGGCGAAACGTGATCTACAGAAGGTATTGCAGGATACGGGACCAGAGGAGTTTCCTATTGCAGCCTCTTCTCTTTGGAGGCTGGTAAAGGATGCGTTACTAACTGACAAGGTGAAAGTGAAGGAACAGTTAGCAGAATGTGAGCAGGCTTTCGCCACTGCCCAGGAAGCTGAAACTAATGAATCTTTAAGAGGGGAAAAAGAGGAAGAGAAGGCTATGAAATCCCGCAAGAAACTTGCAGTTCAGGAGGATGAGAGTGACCTTGAGTCTATATATGAGTTGTTGGATGAGGAGGAGCAGTTAGAGAAACAGATCGAAGAATTACAATGGCGGCTGCAGAAAACGAAAGTAAAACATAAAGAGCCTTCGGCTCCGACCTGCTGTCGTCCGCCTCCTTGTAATCCATACTGGTTGGATAGGGACAATCAAGGTGATGAGGAGGAAGGGAAACGGAGGGGAGTTATCTGGCAGGATACTGCGCAGGCTTATCCCGTTTCCGAAACTGTTAATGCTGCCGGACAAGCCGTCAGGAATCATGTACCTTCGACATTTAAAGAAATGAAACAATTAAAAGAAGCAGTGAGCAGTTACAGTCTGCAGGCTCCATTCACTGTGACACTTTTTGAGTCCTTTTCAGCTAGTTATTTAACACCTAGCGATTGGCAGCAATTATGCCGTGCTGCCCTGTCTGGAGGAGATTATCTCTTGTGGAAAAGTGAGAATCACGAAAGATGCTTAGAGCTGGCACGCATTAATGTGCAGGCCGGTCAACCCCAGAGGAATTATGGCATGCTGGCAGGCGCAGGGCAATATGCTGATATTCAACAGCAAATATTATATGACCCTGGCACTTATGCTCAAATAGCTAATGCAGCGGTCCGAGCCTGGAAATCTCTGGCAAACCTTGCTGCGGGGAGAACAAATTTCAAAGGTCTTGCAAGGTCCTTCAGAACCCTATGCAGATTTTGTGTCACGGCTTTTGCAATTGGCAGGAAAGATCTTTGGAGATTCTGATCAGGCTATGCCAGTAGTTAAACAGTTGGCATATGAGAATGCAAATAAGTATTGCAAAGAAGCATTAAGAGGGAGCAAAGGCAAGAGTTTGAATGACATGCTTCGTGTCTGCAAAGACATAGATGGTAATTATATTACTGGACAAGTTTTAGCTGCTGCCATAAGACATGGCTTGCAAGGCATGAATGGCCGAGGTGCTTGACCTAAAAGATGTTTCCAGTGCGGGCAAGAAGGCCATTTAAAACGCGATTGCCCACAAAACAATCCAAACCAGTCACCTGGAATATGTCCCAAATGTAAAAAGGGTCGGCACTGGAGTAGTAAATGTAGATCTAAGTTTGCCGCACAGGGTAACCCACTACCTTCGGGAAACAGGGGATGGGGCCTGCTCCGGGCCCGAAAGCCAGAGTATACGGAGCTATGCAGACCCAAACAGTAATCCCAGGCAGTGGTTGCCTCCATTTCATTCCACAAAACAACCCCTTTTAATTGACCAACTCAGTCAAGGAACACCAGGAAGTGCAGGACTGGACCTCAGTTCCTCCACTAGAGCAATCTTAACCCCTCAAATGGGACCTCAAGCACTACCCACTGGAGTTTATGACCAAAGGATCATAAACTTACCTTACCAAAAGGATTTGTGGGACTGCTTTTGGGTAGAAGTAGTGCGTATATGAAGGGCATAAGGATTTTGCCTGAAGTGATAGATAATGACTATGAAGGAGAGATAAAAATCATGGCAGAGTCAACACAGGAGGTCTTAGTGATCCCGCAAGGGGAGCGTATAGCTCAGCTACTTCTGCTTCCTATTGTTTCTACAAAAAATAGAAGTTTATGTGTAGCCCGAGGAAAGGGAGGTTTCGGGTCCACTGGTACTCCCCAAGCGTTCTGGGTAGCCCACCTAGACTCTAGGCCTAAATTAGAATTAAAAATTCAAGGTAAATCTTTTGTGGGGATTCTTGATACTGGGGCAGATGTATCCGTTATATCCAAAGAACATTGGCCTGCACGATGGCCTCTGGAGGATTCTACAGCAGTGTTACAGGGCATAGGACAGACCAGACCACAGAGAAGTGCTTGCATATTGAAGTGGAGTGATCAGGAGGGGCACAAAGGACATTTTCAACCTTGATGTTGTATTAGGTTTGCCTACTAACCTGTAGGGAAGAGATGTGTTAGAAACCATGGGAGCGGTTCTCACTACTCAAGCTCTAAAGGGAGAAAATGTTCGTTAATAACATAATGATGGATATGGGATGGACACCAGGAAAAGGGCTGGGAAAGGCAGAGCAGGGTTGTGTTGCTGCTCTTACTGCCACCGATGAGGTCACCAGACTACCTGGAGATCGGAGAGGCTTAGGGCATTTTTAGTATGGGTCACTGGTGTGCGGCCTTCTCCCACACCTATTACTTGGTTGTCTAATGAGCCTGTGTGGGTAGATCAGTGGCCCTTACCACCAGAAAAATTGAGGGCCGCCCATGAGTTAGTGCAGGAACAATTGTTGGCAGGGCATATTGTCCCTTCCACGTCCCCCTGGAATACTCCTATTTTTGTTATCAAGAAAAGGTCTGGAAAATGGAGACTTTTACAAGATTTACATGCAGTAAACGCCACTATGCAGTTAACAGGGGCTCTTCAGCCAGGCCTTCCCAGCCCAGTTGTTATTCCCAAAGATTGGCATATGATAGTGCTAGATTTGAAAGATTGCTTTTTTACTATTCCTTTGGCTCAGCAAGATTGCCAGCGTTTTGCATTTTATGTTCCTTCTATTAATTACAAAGAACCATATAGGCGGGATCATTGGGTTGTTTTACCTCAAGGAATGGCTAATAGCCCCACTATGTGTCAAATGTATGTTGCAGAAGCCATGCAACCCATTAGAGCAAAGTTTCCATATGTATATATTACACATTATATGGATGATATATTATTGGCAGCATCCACCCAAGACTGTGTATTACAAGTTTATGCAGATTTGCAATAAGCACTTGCAGCTGCAAGATTAGTGATTGCCCCAGAAAAGGTACAAAATATGGCTTCTTATCAATATTTGGGATATACTATAAATTCTGTAGGGATATTTCCACAGAAATTACAATTTCACATTGCAGAATTAAAGACATTGCATCATTGGCAGAGGTTTTTAGGGGAAATTCAATGGCTCCACCCCTCATTCCAAATACCCACCGGAGAACTTAAGCCTCTCTATGATGTTTTAAAAGGAGATTCTTCTCCGACTTCCTTAAGGATCCTATCAGCGGAAGCCAAGGCCGCTTTAGGAAAGGTAGAATAAGCACTACAAGAACTCCAAGTGCAACAAATAGATTATACCAAACCCTTATTATTGCTAATTCTTCCCTCTGAATTTTCACCCTACGGGAGTATTTTGGCAAACAGGGCCCATATTTTGGGTGCATTTGTCTGCATCCCCATCTAAAACTTTGAATGCATATTATGAATTAGTAATTCAGCTCCTATGGAAAGCTAAATATATGGGGGAATCCTTGTTTGGAAAGTCTCCTGAGTGCATTGTACTCCCTTATACACAAGAAATGTTAACTTATTTGCAAAGAGAACATGAAGCTTGGTGCCTTTTCTTGTGTACTTTCACAGGCTATATAGATAATCATTATCCAAAACATACACTTATAGAAAGCTTTAAAGTGTGTAGTTTTATTTTTCCCCATATTGTAAAACAGGAACCTATTAAGGGTGCTCGTTTAATTTTTACTGATGCATCTAAAGGAGGTTTTGCTGTGGCCATCAGTGGGGATGAGGTAACGCGGGTGGCAGTGCCCTCCATGTCTGCACAACAAGCTGAGATTACAGCTTTACAATTGGCTTTGCAAGTTTACTCTTTAGAACCTATAAATGTCTATACTGATAGTTGCTATGTGGCCAAAATGATGCATAGTATTGAAACCACTCCATACACTGGAAAACAGTCCGCAGTACATTCTCAATTACAGACCATTCAAAGGTTAATTTGGGCTAGAAAACATCCTCTGTTTGTGGGCCATATTCGAGGGCACTCTGGTCTTCCAGGGGCGCTTGCAG